CTCAGCCCTGTCCTTGTGCTGCTCCTGGTCTGATCCTCCTGTCCCTCCTTCCCTGCCTTGCTGAGCCCCTTCTCCCACCCAAACAGAGCCTCTGCTGCCTGTGTGCAGGGTCTGATCCAGCCCAGGTCTCTGCTGGAGGAGGCACCTTGCTACTGGGTGCTGTTCCTGGCAATGACTTACAGCACTTCAGACTTCTCTTGCAAGAAAATATAGCAGTCATACAAGAGTTGCATTAATCACACATGTTCTATCAGGACTATGTTTTCTGCAAGTGCAAATGCATTGGGGTTAGCCTCAGCAGACTTGCTTTATACCTCACAGAACACTGTGTGTGTTAAGAGCTGAAGGATTTGGGTATCTCTAAAGATAGCAAGTGATTGTTTCTTTCTGTTTTGGTTTTTAAGTGACACATAAAATAATATGCTGCTTGTTTATCTTGTCACTTTGTGTGGGAAACTACCAGTGTGTACCAGATGATGAACGAGAGAGACTTCAGGGATATTATAGAATGTCTGAGTGTGCCTAGGAAAGCTTCTTCAGGCTTGAGCTTGGCTACAGCTGTTGTCCCCAAAAGGAGAGCTCATGGCACCCTACCATGAAGATACAGAATGTTATTCAGGGTCTCACAGTGCAGGGGACAGGACTTCTCCCCAGGGCACCTAGAACTCCAGGATCTGTATCACAGAGGCACAGAGTATTTGGAGTTGGAAGGGACCCACATGGATAAATAAGTCCAACTCCTGGTCCTGCACATCCCCAAGAATCACACCATGTGCCATTGTCCAAACGTTTCCTGAAGCACCAGCTGATGCTGATGGTTTGGTTGTTGGGATTGCCTGTCTTTAGTGCCTTCCTAAAGAGACAAGCAGTGCTTTGGGCTTTCTTTATCTGTTTTAAATGTCACTGAAAACTTCTTTTTCAACTGCGGATTATAAATAAGAATCAAAAAGAAAATCTCTAATCTGGTAGGACGCAGCTTCTTTTACATAACCAGCTTGTATGTTTTGTGTGAAAAGTTTGGCAATCCCAGTGAGCATGCACTGATTTCCCTTCTCCTCTCATTTGCAGGGATCTGGTTCAAGTGCAGCAGTCCCAGGCAGCTCTGGAGTCGGAACAACCAGACAGTTTACGCGACAAAGGATAACGCGGGTGAACCTCAGGGACCTCATATTTTGTTTAGAAAATGAGCGAGAGACAAGCCATTCACTATTGCTATACAAAGCATTCCTTAAGTAAGAGTGGAAAAGATCAAGGTATTTTTGACGGAGAGAGATGCCTGAGGACATTTTTTAATATATTTGCAAATGACGCCTTTTTGTAACAAGCAAACGGGATATTGTTTGAAAAACAACCACCTCTTTACACGGGACAGTTTTATATTCCTGTTTATAAATAAACTCTTCGGCATACGAGAAGTACATTTCTGTAACAGTGAGGATACTTACAAGGCCTGTGGATAACTCTAAAAAGGACAATTAAATTTTAAACTCATCTCTTGATTGAGTGGCCTTCTTGCCAAACAAGCCATATATAAAGACTGATGGAATCGTTTTAGCAAATAACTAGCTACCATTTGTCAGCCCTGTAGCAGTTTCCACATTCATTGTGCATTTTTAGTTCAGTTTTACTCAACTAAATCCATTACACAGGAAAATGTCTACAGCAGATGACCTCATTTCATTTAGCTTTTTTTTTTTTTTGTTTTGGTTTTGAAACAGTCAGTTAGCAAAGCAAACTGATTTTTTTTTTAAAAAAAAGAATATTTATCTTCCCCCCCCCCAAATGCTCAAAATCTAGAGGGATATACAGTTAATTTTTCAACATAACCTCAACTTTAATCACATTATCGCTTATTAGAGGCCCTGAAAATCCCATAAAGGAGGGTTACTTCTGAATGTTTTAGCAGCATCTGTAAAAATGCATTTTATTTGCTATAGTTTGTAAAGCTGTAAAGTCAAAAAAGGAAAAAAAAAAAAGGAAAAAAAGAGAAACCTTTTCAGCATAAATATATTTTACTTGCACTGTGTTTTTTAGCTAAAGTGAAAGCTTAGATTAAATAAAATCAAAAGTTGAGAGGAATCATCAAAAAGACTGTTTCTCAGTGTGAATCAAGTGTCGAAAATGGTTGGTGTATTTTGTCAGTAATTGTACATAATTTTTGGCACATAACATAAAAATGGCTATGTAAACTATAATTATTTTGCTAAAAGACTGTATGCAAGCTGTGGGCCGACTTTAAAGATGTCCAGAGCAAAGTCCCTTCTTTGTACCTATTTTTTTATTACAAATATACTAATTGGTTCTTTATATTTTCAGAGGTTATTGTATTAAATTGTCTATTGATAGTACTTTTATGACTGTAAATACTTTGGCTTTCTTTGTGTGAACTCTCATGGTAGAATTTAACTCTCTTGCGTGTAAACTGAATGCTGATCAGTATTTTTATCAACACCTGACAACTGTTACACCCCTTTTATTTTGTCTTTTAGGAAATCCTGTCTTTCCATTTTTTTTTCATGTAAATTTTGCACAGTTACTTGTTCATATGTAAATATTTTACTTTCAAAAATGAAGTTTTTAATTGCTATTGTTTTATATAGGATTGAAAGAAAATTAACTCCTTTATTAAAAACAAATTTATCTGTATTTGCTAATGTATTTTTCTCTCTAAATCTTTTCTCCTCTTGGATTTATTTCTCTTGGTGCAGTGAAAGATGAGTTTGCTGAGGGGGGTGATGTTTCCTAAAGATACACTTTGGGGATGTTTTTGTTGTTTTGTTTTGTCAGTGTTTTTGGAGGTTTGTTACTTCATCAATCTTGACATTTCATTGGTGTTTTAGAGGTCTTGGACTGAGGTCAGTGGATAATGGGTTTGGTTTTTTTGGTTTTTAACCAGGGAAAGTGTCTGAAGAGATGTTAAACATTTTGGGTTTGTCTAGTGAAGGTTTAAGAGAACATCCTCTCCTTGGGGGCAACCTGCTCCCTCAAACACAGTTAACCAGATGAAGGTGGGACAGAAAAAAAAAATCACAATTTGGAGCACAACTTGAAAGAATATCATCAGGGACACTTTTGATTATCAACATGAAAATCTGAGAAGTGTTTCTGGTACCCTGTGCTGACTATATAGTGTTTGGTTTGTGGGTATTTTTTTAATTCCTCCTCTCATGGGCAGCTCTAATAATTCTCATTTGTGAGGATGTAATCCTGCTGCTAGAAAAATCACATGGATTGGATGATTATTCCTTGCATACAGGCAAATCTGCCCAAATCTGCTGCCCCAAGCACCTTGCTGTGGTTGTGGCACTGGCACTTGGCCCGTGGCAGGAGATCAGTGTCTCTGAACAAGCAGATTAGCTCCTGAAGGGATGTACTCACCTGACACCCTGTAGGACACTGACCTGGAGACTTTCACTGTTTGTAAACTCCAAACTCTCTTTCAAATTGTGTCATGTTATTAAGTGGAAAGCAACACTTTTGGGCTTTTGGCCAAAACATTGTCAAAGCCTTTAACTGTAGCAAGGGTTGGTTTGTAGATGTTCCTCACCTTTGGGCATGGTGTCTGCAGAGCTGTGTCAGGTAAGTGGGGAAGAAATTGACCTTCAGGTGCTGCTTCCAATAGCAAGTTGGGGGTAAGATATGTTTGAAAAGTTGTTGCATAGTGTGCTGTGCTTTATGCTCAGCTTAGAAATGTGCTGGAGGGGCCAAGGGAGGGAGGGAGAGATCTCCTGTCAGCTCCACAGCACTTGTTCTGGTTTGAAATAACACGGGGTCAAGTGCACAGTCAGCCCTTAACTCCATAGAATTTTTCTCAGCTTTTAAAAGTTCCTGTTATCTTGAAAACCTGGTAACATCCAGCTCCCTCCAGTAGTTCAAATTCATGGAGTTTTGGACTGGGATGTTGGCACTTTATTGTCAGTCCTGGAGTGAGCACAGCCCTGTGTGGCCACTGACACTTGTGAGGAGAATTTCTCCTGGCAGAAGAGTCACAGACTTTGTATTTTGTCTTGTTGATTTGCTGTTGGTTTGGGGGGTTTTAATGATTGAACTGATAACTATTTCTGAAGCTGCTCAGAAGTTTTGCATTTGAGAGCAGAGTTTGAGTGGCATTGACAGGGCACTACACATGTACAACAACATTTCTCTTGTGCTAGTGACCTGGAAAGAGACAATTGAGATCCTTTCCTAGCCTCTTAACTTGTGCAGCTCCACGAGGGAGTGAGGGGTAATATGTGAGGGAATATACTATCCCTTTTCTTCACCCTCTTTGTACAAAAAATTACGCAGCTTCTTTGTAGCACCCCCAAAACTGAAGATTGATGTCTGGGACATTCTTTCCACATTCAAGTCTGTGATGGTTTATTTGCACCTTTATTTTACCACACTTTCAGCTGCATGTCAGGGACAGGTTGCTGCTCTCTTGCCTGTGTGACTTGTAGTAGACACTCTCCCCTGTTTGACAGAAGTTTTGATGCTTCTATTTTTTAACACCTTTGATTAGGTAGTGCATAGCTGGAATGTTCCTGATCTATTATCATTCTTCTTCTAGCACAAAAATTGAACAGAACCAATAGAATATAATCAGGCACTCTGAATTCAACCTGTTTCTCTTATTTCACAGGTTTATAATTAGCTAGATTATGTTTTCAGGAAACCTATTGAAATATACAGTGAGTTGCACGCATGAGTGCTCTAACAAATACCATCAGATTCACAGTAATTAAGATTTTATTGGAGGTTTTCATGTGAGCCAAGAAGTTTCCCCATATTTCAGAATTTGTCTGAATTACAATAGTGGTGTGAGAAGTCTAATGCAATGATAATTTTAACCATTTTCTTATGTTTGCAGTTATTTGTCCCTCTGCAAAGAAGAGTTAACCTCTGGGGTAAGTCAGGTAGGGTGACAGCTTGATGGCAATTTCACAGTGACATTTTCCTGCAGTTTGTGTTTGTGTGTACCCACGTGCCCAGGTAAGTGTGCAGAGCCCTGTGCCTGTGTGTGCAGGGTGGGAGGGTCCCTTCTTTAAACACTTCAGTGCTTGTGCCAGGATTTTTGCACATCAGGCCTTTGGGAAAATACAGGTCAGCCTGGTGTGTTAAAATGTGGTATATATAAAGTGTCAAAAGGAATCCTCAGATTTTTGGGAATGTTTTATGAGTAGCCCCATGCATAAGACTTGCTTATCTACATTTGGGGAGGTTTTTTAGCTAGTAACTTTTCCCTGTTCATGAAAGCTGCCAGGCTGAACAAATTTGGGAGATACTTGTTTGTGGAAGGGATGAGTAAGGAGGGCAGTGCTGACCTGCCTTTAATTTGCCCAACATTTCACATCTCTGTGAGTGAGTGTCCAAGTCCTCCCACTTAGGATATCCCCCAGGGTGACAACTGGGGGGATTAAAATTGCATTTTATTAACACAGATCTGTCTTTCCCCTGCAAAGCTGCTGTGTCCAGACTCTGTGCTCTCAACTCTCCCATTGCCATCCTGGCCATGGGTTGCACCAGAGATCGGAAAGGACAAGCCAGGACTCTTTTGTGTGGTGGTGTTATTGCCCAATGCCATAGAGCTGTGAGAAAGGGAATACATTGTTTAACACCTGCTTTTAGGGATTCAGTCCCAGTCCTTGTATTCCTAAGAGAAATTTGCCCCATGCTGCTGCAGACATGGGGCAGTGAGTGGGATCTCCAGGTGCTTTGTAGGCACTACCTGATCTTACTTTGTTCTGCTGCTTCAGAAATAACTTTCCTTGTGAAACACAGTATATTTTCCCTTTGTTTTCCTGCTCAGCTTATTTATTGTTATTCTCTGTAAGCAGCTGGGTTGCACCCTGTTTGGTTTCCTCCTGGGAGTTTCCCTGTTCTGAAGTCAATAGATGACTTGTACAAACAACATGAGCAGTGTTTGGGCTGTGATATGTACCACACTGCTGTGAAAGTGTTGAATAAATGCATAACAAATCTGGCTTTACTGCACTGCAAAAGTACTGTATGGTTTTTACTTGTGCACTTATGTACTTTTTCAATCCAATAACAAAATTAAGTTGCCAAAAAAAAAAAAAGTGTTGCAAATGCTTTCTAGTTTGCTGTGATGCATTTGGTGCTCTAATTTCAAGCTAACACGTTGGAGTGTTGCCCAATTATAGCAGATTGGAATATGAAGAACAATATATCTAATTTCCCAGGAGGGTAACGTGCTGATGTTTAGGTACAGCCTCTTTCAGTGAAAATGAAAATCCTAATGTCGTGCGGAGTGTGGCACTGTTCAGCACACAGACTCCTTTGCTGCACTTTGAGAGGGACAAGAGAAAAATTTGAGTAAGCTGTGGATGAGACCCTTCACCTAGAGGTGGAGTTGGTGGGACTGATCATTTATATTTGACAAATGAGAGTTAAGTTCCTTAAAAAACTGTTATATTCTCACTGCATGGCAGTGTGTGATTTGATGTGGGTTTTTTCCTTCCCATAGTAGCTTTGGTTTGTCCTTTTTCTTCTTCTTGAGTGGTGGCAATATGTTTTGTCTGTGTTTGCATATTCTTGATGCAGGTATTTCAGGGTCCCCATTTAGAGCACAGTCCTAGAACAGTTGTGCCACTGGAGATGAGCAACATTCCCATCCAGCCACATTCCTCCCCAAGCCCCAAGGGAGGGTGGGACCTCCTCAGTCAGCTCTGCTATGGCTTGATCCCAGCAAAACTCCCAAAAAACTCAGTTCCCTGACTGCAAAATGCCTGAGAGATTGTTTTGCTAGGGGTGAGGGCAGGAGCTGATGGTTGGGAAAGGGTTCTAAAGACCTTTCCCTCTCCCCATCAGCAGGATGGACAGCTGAGCTAGCACAGGATGGGCAGGATGGAAGGTCTGAGCAGCTTCATCCCATTGGAATGTGCCTGAGGCTGCCCATACATCAAAAACCAGCTAAACCTGGTACCTGCACAACACAAAGCAGGTCTGTGTGAGCATCCCCCATCTCCTTGGCAACAGAAACAGGCAGAGAAGGGCAAGTGTAACGGGTGAGTGGGGCCAGCTGGGAGGGCAGCAACTGTGGAGGAGGTGAGGAGAGGGCTCACCCCCCTCCTAGTGCCAACATCACATTCCTGAGATGGCAGCTGCTGTCTTGGGGCATTTATAGGCTTGGATGGATTCTTCTGTGAGTTTATAAAGTTGCTTTGCAAACACAGAGGCAGGTCAGGAGGCTTTATGAGACCCCAAGCTCCTTGTGGCATGGACTGCCCCAGGGCACAGCCCCTGCTCCCAGCCCACCTAATTTATGGACATATATATACATGATATATGTGCCTGTATATGTATTTCATATATATTTGTATATTAATGCATGATTACACATATAGATATCTATAAAATTCTGCTTTATCTGTGTAAGATTCCTCTGCAGGAAAGCTCCTTTCTCCCCCTGGCAGGGCCTGCTCTGTGACCCATCAGATCTGTATTTTTGGTAGTGATAAGAGCTGATTTTTCCATTTTGAGGGTGTAAGAAATAATTGTTTTGTAATTGTGTAGCAAGGAGCTACTTGGATATTTCATCCTGG